CATTGCATTTTGTTTCGCCAACGCAAACGTCAGTTGACCTTTTACTTTGCCCCGTTCGAAACCGACACGAACCGAAATCGGCGCACAGTACGACATGCTGACACCATTGCACGGGGATTGTCGGGGTCGACTTCGACAATGTTGTTTTTTGTAGTAAAACTACCACTTCTTTTGCAACTGTCCGCGTCCTCGTCAAGCGGCGGTCCCGAACAAAGGACTGTACGAACGAGATCACTCTTCTTGTCGTAGGAATGCGAGTTGTATGCGAAAGTTTGTTGGAAGGTGGCGGAGCTACAGCGACGGCTGCTGTAGTGTTATACGTGCGCCATACTTCTCTCACAACTTTTGTGCTCCGGCCGAGAATACGTGCAATATGGCCGGATGCATCCTCCATGTCTTCATGTCGAAAGTGAGCGTGAAGACGTAAAATGTCGAGACGTTCTTCTTTAGTTAGGCTAGGTGGGCGACTCTGCTTGACAAACCCACAGATCTTGTCGAACTCGGCCGTGGCAATCGTTGATGGTGGTCGGACCATATTCGTGGAATGGTAAATATTGACAGGATGACCACGATGGTACAGAAACACATGAACTCATACAAATTAATAATTTTGTGACATCATTTTTCATGAAAAGATACAGGATATCAGGACAAAGGAGTCAACCGGACAATCATTCACATCTTTGAAGTAGAATATTTTAAAGGGTATTACGTTTAGAAGGAATTCGTTAGTATAGTTCGTTTCAGCTCAACGAGCTGTATCGATTAATGTATCCCATGTCCACAAGGACTCGCTTCGTCCTTGTGTACGAGTAAACGACCCCTGGATGATGCCTACCACTGTCAAAATCAATTACATGCGTAAAATGATTGATATAAAGTTTGTGGGGCTTGTTTGAAATTGCCGTTTTGAAAATTTAAACGTGAGACGGAATCGATGCAGGACATTTGAAAAAATGCTGCATAGCAAACGATCGAAGAGCAAGAGCTTGACAATTCATGACAAGAACGCTAGTAGAGGCTCCTTTAAGGCTAACACGCCCATCAAAACAATTGCTGTCCAAACGTGGGTGAAAGAACACCTTGGTCATGCGGTGCACATCGCCACGATCCGTCG